TCTAATTACTTCTTTATCCTTGAGTACCATTGGTTCTCTAATGGACAGTGATTCATAAAACACATTCATGAATCGGAGCTCCTACTGGTCCAAGTACCGAATCAACCCTCAAGAGAATTATTTATCTACTTCTTTCTTCAGAAGGAATGGATTCCATCTCGTGTAATAACATTCCCGGCTACCTACTTCATCATGTCTCCAAAATACAAGGAATAGGATTCAGGATCTCAGAATCCGTACCGAGTAAATCAAAAGACACAAATCCATAAATAGGAGTTTGTTAAGAACTCAGGATTAAGATCATTCTATATATGACCATCGGTAGACTCAATTAGAATTTCTATACTTAACGGAAATTATTAGAAATTCATATTGTGTCTGTGTTCTTGTTCCACATAATCTCATTATGCGAAATACACTCATTCAATATCTCGCCATATCAACAGTGCGGATAACACCGTTCCATTCTAAATGGGAATGACATGTATTAATAATGTTTTAATTAAAGATTCCAAACTTTAATTAAATTCATTATGAACATTGCTTTTTGATTATTATCCTTAAACATTATCCTCTCGTATATAACACTTATATACAATGTTTAAGGTTACATAAATAATCATGGAATTTTTATTGATATTCATAAAATATTCATAAATATATGCACATAAAATAATGAATAAACTCTTTTATTAAATAAATAATAAATATCCTATTACATATCATGCTTCTAGGACACCATTCCCAACAATTTTCTAGGATCTTTTGGCTAAGAAAAGAATGAGAGAAGACGACTCTACGAAGGAGAGGGAGATTCGTTCAAGAACAGAGTTCAACTTCGAATTCACCAAACAGTTTTATTATTTCCTGAATTTCTTATGTTAATTATTATTGTCATTATGTTTTCTTTTTCAATTATGTTCTAATTTTCTTTTGTTAGGGCTATTAGATCACCAATTCTATTTTAATTTAATTCATTCATTTTTACTTTCAATGAATTAATTCACTAAGAGTTTATTATTGATGGTTGTTATTTCTTTCTCTATGCTTAATGCTTTCAATTATCTGGCCAATATTTGAATTGTTCTGGAGACCTAGATTGAAACCCCAGAAGGAGACTTTTAGGAATAGCTTCTTGTGAGAGGAATCGTAAGGTGCATGCGACATCTAGCGATAGTAACATGACTTATGTGAACAATTAAGAGAACCATAAAGCGTAATGAATTTCTAGGGTGGTGGAATTCACATCGAAAGATAGTGGGTTTACATGCTAGGAATGAATTTGATAGCATCCCCAAAAGGACTATTAAATAATTTAGGGTCACTTGTTTGAACACATGAATAATAGGCAATGTTAGTAAGAATAATGAATTAAAGAAGATTAGATTTGGTGAAATCAGTTGTCCTAGTCTTTAATTATTTTGAGTCGTTTATTTATTTTAGTTTTATTTATTTGAGTTTTTATTTGTATTTTGCTCTTACTATTTTTCTATTTTATTTTAGGTTGTTCAAATAATTTTAGAGTTGACCAATTTCGGTAGTTAATTAAAATTAACTCAATCCTTGTAGG